CCTCACACTTCCTGGAGGGCCGAGCGGCTCTTTGGCAGGTGCGCCGCCGGATTGGCACCGCCTGCCAGAGGTGTCGGATCTCCGGACCTCCTGGTCCTCATCTGCTCCTTCTTCTCGTCCTCTCCTCCTGCCGTTCTCCTCCTCACCTTCTCCTCCTCAGCTCTTCTCTCCTCCTCACCTCCTCCTCTTTCCTTGGGCGCAGGGCGGCTCCTCTGGGGAGAGGCTTGCTGGCTTGCCGCCGCGAGCTGGAATTGTCGGAGAGCTCCATTCCTCGTCGTCATCCTCTCCCTCGCATCCTCCTCCTTTTCCGTGTTCTCCGAGTTTTGCTCAAAGCTGCTCCTGCCGAGCCTCGGTCGCGATCGCTCTGCGGAGCCGTGCCTCCGCTTCTGGGCACCGTGCTGCCATTGACCTGTGGCCATTGACCTTTTCGTTGCGTTCAAGTGCTTCGGAACATCTTCCAAACTATGTGTTCAGGACTCGGGGGCGGGTCCCTTAGACTCTCGATGCGAGCCGAGGCTCCCCTGGGAAACAGGACATCACTTGAAGATGGAATCTGCTGAGTTTACCGCAGATGCGTCGATCAAAGTTGCCATTTCCTCGCCCATGATGAACTGATGTATCGGCATCGCATGCTGCGCGAATCGTCGTCGCCCTTGTTTAGGCTGGGCTGCTTCTGCACATAACATGCCCCCATTTACAGAATTGCTCACACGTGGCTTTGCTTCGCCTTCGCGGCATTTCGGATCGATATCGACAGTGAGGCATTGGACTGGAACGCCGTGCGCGTCTCTGGGTAAACTCCGCACTGGAGGCGGAGGGGCCAATAACTTTTGAGCCGAGCCTCCCGACCCCGACGTGATCTTCGACCTGTCGGAGTTTTGATACCATGAGGGCCGCGTCGGCAACGAACTCGACCACGACGGTGCTCGTGCTCCCGATAGGAGGCGCCCTCATGTATCTCCCGAACTTCATGCCCTTGGCCGTCGATCTGTTCGATCCTATAGTTTTGACCAGCGGTGTGGTTAAGAAGTCCCTCGTGCTCGTCCTGGTGTTGACATTTCCTGGTTCAAGTTGTAAGCGTTGTATGAGGGCCTCGTCACAACATGAGCCTGACTATCAGGCCGCTCCACCAATGCCATTCGGTATACCAATGACCTGTGCCGTGTTCATGGGATCCCCTTCGCTGGTCAGCCCTCGCACATTGAGGGTTTCGGACGGTTTCGACTTTAGTAGTGCCAGAAGGGGTGCAGCATATTCCCGAGCCAATGACCCATTCAAATCTTGCCCTCGCCCTCGGGAGCCGCAATGGCACAGTACTGATAACATCATCTATCTGATGGCCTTCAGCCCATCCCGTCACCGTGCCTGGGCTGTGATTCAGAGGCCACTTGGATGCTATGAAGGTTTCCTGGGTTGCCTTTTTGGGGACTCTTGGAGGTCTCTTGGGGGCTTTAAGGGGCCTCTTGGGGGCCTCTTGGGCCGTCTTGGGGGCCTCTTGGGGCGTTTGGGGGTTCTCGGCAGCCTCCGGGGGGCTCTTGGGGCCATCTTGGGTCGGAAGGCTCGAAATGACCGTTCGTACTCCCCCTCTTGTGTCCTTCTTGGGAATGTCCGTGCGCGTTCCCCCTCTTGGGCCCTTCTCGAGGCCCTCTGGGATGCCTTTTGTGCCGTCTTCGGGGCCTCTTGGGGCGTCTTGAGGCCCTCCTCGGGGCCTTCTGGGCAGTCCGGGGGCGCAATTGCGGGCTTTTTGGGCAGTCTTGGAGCGTCGGAAGTTGGAAAAAGGCGAGAAGGCTCAAATCTTTCAAAAACCGAAGGAAAATAATGGAGTTTGGCCCTTAGGGCCTTCTTAGGGGTTCTCTTGGGGCTCCCTTGCAGCTTCTTGGGGGCCTGTTTGGCCGTCTTGAGGCCACCTTGGGCGGCTGGGAGCGGTCTTGCGGCGACTTGGATCCCCTCCTGGGCCTGGTTGCCGTGCCGGAAGCCCACGTGAAACACCCCGGAAGCGCCAAGAACGCCCAAGAGCGCTGGGGAAACCGGAGGTCTGGCCTGGAAGGACCTTACAAGCCCTCCACCTCTCAGGGCTGCGTGAGCCTCGGGACACTCCACTACCACTACGTGGCTCGAGGCACGGTGGCGGATTTATCCCAGAGGAGTGCGAACATCGAAATTGTCCAATCAGACAGCAATGCAATGATGCTGCGAGGGACACATTAAGGCTAACACAGCCGTCTGAGGATGCCTGATGCTCGAACTGGTGTGCCCTATTCATATGCCTTTGTTTTTCCTTCTCACGACTGTTCGTCCACGCTGGCGCTTCCGATGTCATCGGCAGCGTCGTTACCACCCTCGCCCCTTCGTCGGTGTCCGCGCTTCTGCGCCTTGTGGTGGCATCCAATCGCGTTTTGCAATCGTTGCGGTCGTGGCCGTGGCCGTGGCCGTGGCCGTGCTTTTCCGTGGCGTCGTCATCGTCGTCATCGCGGCGGTGGTGGTGGTGGTGGCGGTCGTC